CACACAACAACCAACCAACCAACCAATCAACCAACCAATCAACCAACCAACCAACCAATCAACCAACCAATCAATCAATAAACCAATCAACCAACTATTCAATCAACCAATCAACCAACCAACCAACCAACCAACCAATCAACCAACCAATCAACCAACCAACCAACCAATCAACCAACCAACCAACCAATCAACCAACCAACCAACCAACCAATCAACCAACCAACCAATCAATCAACCAACCAACCAACCAACCAACCAACCAATCAATCAACCAACCAACCAATCAATCAACCAACCAATCAACCAACCAACCAACCAATCAATCAACCAACCAACCAACCAACCAATAAACCAATCAACCAACCAACCAACCAATCAACCAACCAACCAACCAGCCAATCAATCAATCATCAATCAATTGATTGATTGATTGAACGGAAATGACATCAATGGAAATGACAACCACCTTGCATATTTTTTTAATGTTTTCATCGGTTGGCATGACGAAGTAAATGGCCGGTGTATCCTGGATCTGCTCCCTGTCACTGTCCAACAGCCTTCAACGAGTCATTATCGAAATTTAAAGTTTATTGAAAAAAAAAATAATAAATTTCAATTAAACAACATTTACTTAATATTTTTATCTATTCAATAATATTTTTATTTATTTAATTAAAATAACATTTGATAAAATTAAAATGACATTTGATAACATTAAAATAACATTTAATAACATTGAAATAACATTTAATAACATTAAAATGACATTTAGAAACGTTAGAATAGCACGTAAAAATATTGAAATAACATTTAATCAACATTGAGCAACATTTAAAAACAACAAGTATGATTTAACGAAGATAAATAACATTAAATAATATTTAATAACACTTATATAACTCTGAATAACATCGAATAAACACTGAACAACAAGCAAGCTGATGATGACGATGATGATGATGACAATGATGATGATGATAATGATGATGATGACAATAATGATGACGATGATGATAATGATGACGATGATGATAATGATGACGACGATGATGATGATAATGATGATGATGACTATGATGATGATGACAATAATGATGACGATGATGATAATGATGACGATGATGATAATGATGACGATGATGATAATGATGACGATGATGATAATGATGATGAAAACAACAATAATAACAACAATAACAATACAAACAACAGCAGAGTGACAAATCTCAAAAGAAGACCACCGACAGATGAACGGTGACGCCTAAGTCTCGAAGTTCCTTGACATTCAGCAGCGGAGATATTACACTCTGTCCATACTTGTCGTACACCAGTATCTGCAAAGAGAAGAAAAACCAGATTATATGAAAAAGGTACAGTATCATTAAGAAATTAATTTAATTAGCCAATTAGTAATATTAACAAATTATATTTAATTAACAAATTATCATTGTTAAAAAGTTAATTTAATAAGCATATTGTTATAAGTTGTAAAAAATTAATTTAATTAGCATATTGTTATAAAATAAATTAATTGAATTGTTAATTGTATTATAAATAATTACAGCTGTATCTTCTATTTATATATTTATAATTAATATAAGATAAATAATAATAGTAATGATGTATTCCTCAAAATAGCTAAGAATCAACTGACCAACATGCAATTGCTTATCTTATTTTTTTTTATAAAATAATAAAACATGATTAAAAAATGTATAATTATTTATAAAATAAATAAATTCATTTGAAATTTTCAATAAAATTATATTATATTAATTAAAATCAATTAAATTATTATAGGTTAAAAGGTTACTCTCTCTCTTTTGCGTTAGCTTCAGAGGTTTCAACGACAAACACACACAGCGTATATGAATACGCGTGCAAACCATGCATCATACACATTACACATGTTAGGCGGGGATCTCTTTGTATTCGAACCAAGTCATTGCAATAGCAAGACCAGGAGCCTTTAACCATTGAGCCATCACGCCGCCAAGTTTTTATTAGTTATAAATAAAAATAAAATACAAAAACTAACCTTCCATTGAGGTTCTGAAATGGTGGATTTCGTGATGGGGTTATTGAAGTTTAACATACGCTTCAGAGAAGCTGCAAATTTGAAAAATAAATTAAATTAAATAATTTTAGAACTTTATAAATTATAAAATAAGTAAAATAGGTTAAATCAAATAATTTTGTTTTATTTATTCCAAATTTTAAAATTATAAAAATAAAATAATAAGTTTGTTATAGCTGGGCTTCAGCTTCAGGCAGGCAGTACAAAAAACATAAAACCGGAATAAATAATTTTGGAACAATAAATTTCAACAGTTGATAACACCACAGCTAAATTTAACTTTTTTTGTTTGAATGTCAAAAAATAATTAAATAAATAATTGAGATAAAAAAAAATGACCAATCTGTCGTTCTAGTAAAGTACCGTTGGCGGCTGCCACTGTTTGTTCTTACGTGTTCATGTTTACTGTTGTCGCGT